CTCCCTCAGAAACCTGATGATAAATTGCACCGGAACCAGGGCCCTCGTGACAGGAACATCTATGCACCAGTGATTTTCAGAGTCTTCATTTAAGCTTCAGCTGGGGGCGAGGAGGAGGGGAAGTGGGAAGCAGTTAGAACTGACAATTGACAAAAGGCCATTCCGTTCCAGGCCTGACTTCTCCAAGTCCCACGATAGCGGTCTTATCTTACTCCTAGTTTCAATCAGGAAGAGATGTAAAATCAGACAGCTGCTATGATGTATGAAAGTGGATTTGGTTTTTTTAATTGCTCATTTAGGTGACAGTACCATGCTCCATAATGAAGTGACCCTTTGGTTGTCAGCCACTTGACAAAACTGCTTCCATCTAATTACAAATGAAATGTCTGCATTGCCAGTTCTTGAATTACAAGGAGGCTGCTTGTATCTAGTGTTGAATCACGAGACAGAGAGAATCATTTAATCCAATCCCTTAGCATTCATGGCAGGACTAAGTATTATTCTAGACCATTCCCGATAGGTGTTTGTCTAACCTGCTCATAACAATTGCCAATGATGGAGATTCCACAACCTCCCTAGGCGTACCTAGAATTTGGAGGGTGTGCTGATTTGATTGGATGCAGAGAGAGCGCGTGGCTGTCACAATGTGGTCCGCAATCAGCATCCATGTCACTTCATTTGCCCTTGCTTTACGTGCATGTTATTTTTGTTAATACTTGTAAAAAAAAACCCTTGTGGCTATGTCTTCACTGCAGCGTTCTAGCACAAGAAGTCTGTAGCACTAGTTTTTTGGCGCAAAGACTTCTTATGCAAGACCATGTGCACACATCAAAGCACCTCACTTTTGCAAGGCTCTTTTGTGCAAGAGAGCATCCGCACTACTGGATCCTCTTGCACAAGAAAGTTCTGATGGCCAGTCTGATGGCCATCAGAGCATCTGTACTTTTCTCCATATGCAAGAAACCCCTCTGGAGCATCCACACTTACCTTCTTGTACAATAGGGCTGTGTCTACACTGGGCCACTTATTCCGGAAAATCATCCGCTTTTCCGGAATAAGCTGCGAGCTGTCTACACTGGCCCTTGAATTTCCGGAAAAGCAACGACGCTCTACTGTACAAAATCAGCTGCTATTCCGGAAAAACTATTCTGCTCCCTCTCGGGCATAAGTCCTTATTCCGGAACACTGTTCCGGAAAAGGGCCAGTGTAGACAGCCCAGTAGTCTTTTCCGGAAAAAAAGCCCCGATCGCGAAAATGGCGACCGGGGCTCTTTTCCAGAAAAGCGCATCTACATTGGCCACAGACGCTTTTCCGGAAAAAGGGCTTTTCCGGAAAAGCAGCCTGCCAATGTAGACGCTCCTTTTCCGGAAAAACTGAAAATGGAATAGTATTCCGTTTTAAGCAGTTCCGGAAATTCATGCCAGTGTAGACACAGCCTAGCTGTAGTGCTAAAAGCATTTATGCCTCAGAAAAGGAGGTTTACCTAGGGCAGAAAAAGCCCTCTGTTCTGCCATTTAGCTGCCCATTTAATAGCGCTAGAGCTCATTTGAGGTGTGGACGCTCCCCAGGTTTTTGCACAAAAACAGCTGGTATTGCGCAAAAACCTTGTAGAGTAGATGTAGCCTACGTAGATGGAAACCAGCAAAATCTGGCAACCCTTTGCATAGGCAACAGTAAATAACATATTTCATGGGCCACACACGGAACCCCAGTAGGCCACAGGTTGCCAGTGACTGCTATAGGGAGATTTGCTAATATTTAAACATTAGCTATAGTGATTTCAACCACCGTTTTCTACAGACAATTTTCTATGTGCCTATTTCCTGTAGTTCAAGTAATCTGGGGGCATGTGTTTCCTGCCCATGGCTTATCTTACAGAGAATGGGGGAGCTATTGATTTTTAGCTCCCTCAGTGCCAGGTGTGAGTTGTTTCTAACATTATTTTATACCACATATCTGAGAGAGATTTTTGGAGAACAGATTATTTTATTTTGTACAGCCCATAGAGGCTAATTTCCCTCCATATGGGGAATATTTGCCCAAGGGCCAAGAAAGAGGAAGAAGCCCTTAACTGTGCTTTTCACCAGTACCTAGGTTATTGGAATCCCTGATTATATCCTCCCCTTCCCACCAAAACACTCCAGGTTTGTTCTTTGATCAGGTCAAGTACATTGAGGCTCAAGCCTCCCCCTCAACTATCCCCTTCGCCATCTAGATATGCAAAGCTTCACATTTTTCATTTAAAAAAAAAAAGCCCACGTCTTAGATACTTTCACAAGCTTTTCTCTTTTACCCACCAGCTCCCTGGCCAATACGAAAATTTATACGGCAGCACCCATTGTTCTCTCTGCAATGAGAAATAGTAAATGCAGCAAGCCCCAGCAGACATGTGGCTTGGATCTCAGGAAGCCCGTGTTTGGAACAAAGTCTGGTTCTTTCCTGATGACGGCTTCAGAGTACAAATCCATGCAGTTCTGGTAGCAGTAGTGATTTGGGTTTACACAAAGTCTTGATTTGCACCATGGCAAGATGTAAATTCACTGCTGGGTTGGAAGGCTACGTAAAGCAGTTGGTTAAGAATGGAGTGTGATGGAGCCATGCTAAGCCTCCCTCTGGAGGAGCGGCACCAGAATGTATAAGAGTTAACAGGGGACAGTAGAATGGTGCTTCCGTTTGTTACTACAAGGAATCATTTGGGGAAAAAAAAGTCACTTGGACTTCAGCACCTCTATAACAGTTACTGGTGAAATTAGCTCTCAGCCTAAATCACACACAGGCTCATTACATGGCCCCACCCAATCCCTGCATTACAAGTGATCCAACTAAGAAACCAGCCCAGGAGACCATTCCAAACCCATCACTGTATTAGATAGCCATACCCAGTGCCATCACTCATAGTAGACGAAAGAGAAGTCCCAGAATCCAGCTCTACTCTGATGATTTTTGACATGTTCCAAGCTACGGTGGTTTATATACTTTACAAATTTCAAAGTCTCTGTGTCTCTGTAAACCAAAGCCAAGCAGTTGTTCTCTGGAATCACTGTCAGCAGCTGAAACAGACAAGGTAGATCTTGTTTTTGGAGGGGAAAACAGGAGTTATTTTCACAAAAAATAACGTCAAGATTTTATTCCTATTGGGACCAGCATTAAAATAAGGTAGGCAGATGACTGGAGAAGACCATGAGGACATGGAGGCTGAATATTGCCACTAATGGTACAAGTCTAAGAACAGACAACATAGCCCACTGCATATTAAGACCCATTAATTAAGGTTTTTTATTCAACAACTGTCACTTGTCTCATGGAAGAGGAACCTAGCACTGACCCAGTGTCTCACGGGTTATTATGGAAGCACCTGGGCTTCAAACAGGAGAGGTGCTGTACAAGTCCAAGAGAAGGTCTAAGCTCTTCAGCGCAGGTCTAAGGCCAGCACCCTCAGAAGAGAACTGTAGGTTTTTAGACATCCACTTTTAGGGCTGAATCCTCAGCTGTGCACAGTCACAAGCTACTGCCAAGACAGGGAGCATTTTCTTGCCCCCCCCCCCCCGTGCTGGAACTGCTGCTAGGATCTTCCCATCATCAACGTCAGCGCTGCTCTAGCTCTATGCAAATTGTAATAGCCCCTAAGAACTAGGGATAAAAAAATCCCATTTTACCAGCTGCCTGCTTAAAATGGGGGGGGGAGGGGGCTTGGACTGCTCCGGCCAAGCTGAGGGTCCGCAGTGGACAGGGGCTGATCTGGCCCAGGTGGGCTCCAGCCATGCTGGGGTGCCTCCTGCCCATGGTGTGAGGGGCTGCTCCAACCAGGCCAGGCCTACTGTGCTGCAGGCAGGCAGGCGGGGAGCTGCTCCAGCCCAGCTGGGCCATTGGTTAACCTTTGACATCCCTACTACTACTGGCAGGGGCTTAAGAGTTAACACACCATGCTATTTACCTCTTCATCTTCACCCTTTGCAATGTAGGATGTAAAGCCGCCATATTCTGCGTCCCAATCTGAAAAGATGAAACCGAAGAGAGAGACCGAGAAAGCTCAGCACTCACATGTATTCCCGCTCACTCATCTAGACCAGTAGCAACTCTCCCCTGCGCTCCAAAATTCTTAGGTACCACACTAACTCTAGTTACCCATGGTGAGGTATTGTCATTCAAGGCTATCGTCTTGAACAAGTACCTCTCACTGCCCAGTCCCCACCTACGCAGGGCATTACTGCCAAGATGGGAAGAGGCCAGACAGCTCACAGTCATGAAGAGAGCCAAAGGTTTTAGTTGTAAGTATGGGAACCTGAGTAGGATAGGCCTGGTGGTCCCAACAGTATGTTCATGTTGGTTCTGGCCTTTGCCTTCTTCCAGTGCTGCTGGCAACTGGCCAAGATGCAAAAATATTTCTGGCCATTTAGGCTTAAGTTTTCAGAAGTGATGAGCTACTGCCTGACGCCCTCTCCCACAACCATTGTTTTGGAAGACGCAGGCTTCAATAGTGTGTCTTTGAACAAAAAAAGGGACAAATGAATCCAGTGACAGTGTTACATGAAATGTCACCGAGAGAACAGCCCCTCCACTCTCCTGTGAGTGACCTCATCCCCCAGCCACATGCTCAGACTGAGGATTCCCAGAAGAAACTCCCCCTAATAAGCTGGATGAGTCACACTGCATGCGGTTTTCCTAGGGAGCTGGCAAAGTGCCCTGGCCTGGCCTAGGGAGGCAGAGCATCCATGGGAAGTAATCCAACACTACTATGTGACAATACAGAGCCAGCCAGTGTGGGACTGGCCTGCACTGGCAATCTGCAAATGTCATCAGGTGACACCACTTAGAGCTGGGACAGAAGCAGGAAAGAGCCTTCTATTTAGAGAACAGCAGGAAACAATTTGGTGGCTTTACAACTGCTCAGCAGATTCTTAACACAAGTCCGTTTTCTTTCCCGTTGGCAGCATGGAAAGGGGAGACTTGGTTTCCACCCCCGCCACGTACCTTCACAACCACAGAAGAACAGCAGGTCCAGGGCAAATTCCGTCATTTGGGTATCATGGACTAGAGTGTAGTGACCATTTGTCCAGTGCCTTAACTCTCCCATGCACAGGGGGACACTTGAACCTAGGGGAGAAAAACAAGACTTTGACCAGCCATCAGCCTATTTAGGAATAGGGTGCTGCCCTAAACTTCCCCCCTGCACTGGTGTGCTCAGTTGTCCAAGTGATTTACAAATTAAATTGGAGAAAGTGCTTTGGGATCCCTCAGGATGAGGAGACCCCTTCCTAGTCTCAGATTCCAGCAGTCCCACTGGGGGGAAGAATAAAAGACCATGGGGTAGGAGAGGAAGAGAAGAAACAGAATTCCTGCCCACCAGGAATTTAGCTATTTAGGATTCAACAGGGTCTTCCACAGAAAGAAAATAGGAAAATGTGGCTGTAAAAGCACATTACACTTAGCAAAGGGTTCAGGAACAGATGTGGTTTCTGAATCTATTTCACTCTAAACAGTGACTAGATTTCACCTTTATTATGTCACTTTAACATTTTTAATAAATGTATAACCTGCAAAAAGTCATCAGCTCAGGCCCAATGCTTTCAGAAGCAGCTTTTGATTTTGGATGCCCAACTTCAGACACTTTGAGCCTGATTTATATAGGCACTGAGCACCAGCACTCCAAATGAAGTCAATGAGAGCTGGGTGTGCTTAGTACCCCTGGAAATCAGGCTCAAGTTAAGCAGGCAAAATCAGAGGCCACTCTCAAGCTGACTATCGCTTAGGAGTGAAATCTTGGCCTCAAGGAAGGCAATGGGAGTTTTTACCATTGACATCAGTGGAGACAAGGTTTTCTCTATTTCTAACTCTAGCTCTGCTGACTTTACTTACTGTTCTTTCTAGCACCTTCAATCTGGGGGCCAGTTGCAGGCTGATCTACTTGGTCAACCCCACCATTGGCCTCCTGACTGGTTTCTCCTTGCTTGGGTTTGTGACCAGCAGAATTTGTGGCCTTTCCTTCTTCTGTCTCATCCTCAGAGGAAGCCAGGAAATGCAGCTTCAGGCCTGTGAAGTTGGAGAGCAGCAAGAACAAGGCCTCAGAGCGTAAAAACTCCAGGCACTTCCTCAGTATGTCTGGAAGGCTCCCCTCCTCAGCTTTGTGGTAATATCTGAAAGAGTGGGGATATAGTGAGCAGATATCTGGAAAGGATCCAGTATTCAGACTAAGGAGAATACCTGCTAGGGATCTTCCTGGAAGAGCCCGGCTGACTTAGTTAACCAACAGGAGTCAACAGCACAGACATAACTACCTTTTATTGGGGGGGCCTTGGCTGCTCCATCTGATGTCTTCTTTTTGCAAAGCTTCACATACAAGCTGCAACTTCTCTCCCTAGGAACCAAACACATTGCAGATCCCTTTAACACTCCTCTTCACCACAAGCTTTCCTGGTGCACTAGATGTTATTCTGCGAGGCCCCCGGCTTCAGTTCTCTGGACTGCTTTTTGTCCCTCACAGACCAGCAGGGGCTAGATCATGTCGGGCAACCAAGAATAGTGAGTGGGCTGCATGAGTGGCCCCCCTCCTCAGTGGGCCACAAGACCAGCGGTGGGCAATCTGCAGCCCACTGGGGTTCCACCTGGAGCCTGCATGCCCCCTTTTTGTCCTCTTCCCCCACGTGCCTCGTGTGCTTGAGCTCCAGACTTCCTACTTCTTTCTCCCAGCGCTTTCTGAGCCCCACGAATTGTCTGCCCCCACTCGCAGCTGATTTGTGGTATTCAAGCTCTGGGAGAGGGGGAGGAACAGGGAGGGAGCATGAATCAGTGGATTTGTGGCACTGTGAAAGTTCTAGGAGGGAGGAAGATGAAGGGCTGGGTTCCAGTGCCCCAGTGGTGTATAGAGGGAGGCAGAGAGAGGGTCCGCTGGCCAGAGGTTGCCCACCACAGTGAGCTGTGACGGTGATCGTTTGTGATCCTCCACTGCCCTGCAGCTTGTGTTTTATTAAATACATCTGTGGGCACAAAATGCTACTACAGGTTGAACTTCTCTAGTCCAGTACTCTCTGGTCCAAGAACAGCCATAGTCTGGCATGATCTTAGTTAGTCGGACGTCCACTTATCGTGGTGTGGCTGTTTCCCACGGTCCCATAACGTTTGTTTAGAGCCACCAGTCCTGGCTCAGTGTTCTGTGCTGTTATTAAGCTCTAATTTACCCCCACATTTCTTCTAAGAGTTCAGTAAGCAGTGGAAGTGTTGGTAACACTGCTAGACAACACTGACCTTCCATGCTCCTGCAAATTCTCTGGTTGGTCACTGGTCAGATCCCGAGGGGCCAGACTACAGAGATTAGCATTCTCTGCTCTCATGCAGGTATGCATGACTGCACAAAGAACCAGGCAGGGTCAATCAGACCCAGGACCCAAAATCTCCGTAGGGATGTCTAGTCACCGAGCATAACTTCTATTGGCTATGTATTTCACAAGTGGCATAGCAACCCTCTCCCACTCTCCCCTGGGGCCTAACCAATGCTTCTTGACCAGGAGGTTGGTCTGTATGACACAAGAACTCAGGATGGGGATACCACCAAAAACAGGACATGGGGAAGGTAGAGCAGGGAAGAGAGACGGTAACGCAGGGACCTTAGAGCAGTGCTTGTGGTTTCGTCCAGCTGTCACTGTGCAGCAGAAGGGCTACAATCTGTAACTTCGAGAAAAATCTGCCAGAGTGTGTGTGTGTGTGTGTGTGTGTGGGGAGGGTGGGTATGTGTGTGTGCAAGCAACATTTCTTCCATCCCTGCCTGAAGCCACCAAGAGAAGAGAAAGACAGACCAGCTGGCATTTTGCTTCTCAGCTGCACAAATGGCCAACTGCATTTACCATCAGTTTGTGTTCCACACAACGCCTGCCAACACTACAACCTGGGGAACAAAACTCCACGTAGCACATCATCCTGGACCCACCTTAAGGAAGTTCTTTAGGAGAATCTCTGATCGCTCCTCAAATTCCTCCTGGATCTGGGCTTGGGAATCCATGTCCAAGTAAACCGGGTTGATCCATTCATATAAGATTTCATGCTGAAATAGAAACATCTTGGTTTGAATGCTGGATTTGAGATTATGGAGTTAATGGAACCTCTTACCACAATGGCCTCAGGCTGGTCATCCCCTCACCCTTAGTGCCCACAAATTTGCTGCACTCTCAGCAGCACTTTTGCAATGGGCACAGAATTCCTTACACAAAGCTCTCAACAGCCCTATCCCCACCTCCCAAACAGAAGTCTCCAGCCCTCCTCCCAAACCAATCCTTACTAATAGAACCTTGCGCTTTTCATGCCTGATCTCAAAGCCAATGAATGGATGGGAGAGAGGAGGAAGTTAACAAGGTTCAGTTGAAAAGCACCCAAGAAATTCCGCACTTTTTACAACAGTGGTCTCCAACCTTTTTACACCCAAGATCACTTTTTAAATCTCAGAACACATGAAGATCTACCGCACCGCACCGCCCCTTCCTTGAAGCCCCGCCCTCTCTATTCTCCTCCTGTCCATCACTTGCTATCCCCAGCCCTTACTTACACACTCTGATAAACAGTTTATTTTTAAATTATGCGACCGCCCCACGCGCGCCTCCCCTGGGGCTGACTCACCCCTCCTGTGCGGTGCAGGGAGCTGATGCTCCCTCCCGCAGTACACCCAGCAGAGCAGCTAGCGCACTTCCGGAATCGCCGGAAGTGGCATAAAGCTGCAGGATTTCTGTCCATCCCTGGGAAGCCAACACTACCTCCATTTTCACTTGAGGTAGGTAGTGGGGCTTCTCGGGGGTGGGAGGGAAATGGGGGTGGGGAGGACAGGACGCCTCGTGATCGACCTGTTGGTGACCACTGGTTTACAGCAAGGGGGAGGTGTAAAATTCAAGGAGCCCATTGCCTCAGTTGTGTGCCCTCAAGTGCAGGTGTCCCACAGAAATGGAGGAGGCTGGATGGGTCTGAGTAGATTTACGATTTTTCCTTACATCAAATGGGATATGTGGACTCCGGGGCAAAAGGGATTCAATGTAGCGCGGAGGCCTTGCCACTGATGGGCCATGAAACCAGCCACTGATGGACAAGCGGCACTTCCCTTCAGTCAGAACTTCAGACACCTGGAATGAAAAGGAGAGAAACATGTTATTTGGTACTAATCATATGTGTGTATTATGGCAATTACCAATGGCCCCAACTGAGCTCAAAGCTTCATTGTGCTAGGTGCTGTATGTGCACCAAGGAAGAGAGAGTCTATGACCCCAAAAAGATTTTACAGTCTAGACATTAAAAGGTCTGCAGACAGGAAGGATTATTGTCTGCCATTAATCTTACTTCATTTTCCCAGCATAAGTCTCTTGTAACAGGGCTCTGAATTGAAACCAGCTTTCCTGTGTCCTAGTCCGGAGCCTTAAACCACTGAACTATTTATTAGAACCATTTATTTGCCTTGAGGCAAAGCAGGAACCAACAGAAGTCTGGGATAAATTTTTTGCTACTTAGTTTGCTGGATTACTATTTGCCTTGATCTGCAAACAACTCAACTTTGACGTGGCTATCCACGAGAGAGAAAAGGATGCTAAGGACAGACTCTATGGGAAGTAGTCGCAGTCCATGAGCAACACCCACATAGTCATTTACATATGTTGGTTTGTACCTTTAAAAATACACTGTAGAACCATCTCTCATCAGTTTGCAGTTGTTCCACTTGCTAAGGGTGAAGTTCACCTTTGTGCATAAGACCCAGGTGTTTAATAGACTTTATGCTGGCTCCCTACACTGGGGTGACCTCCAGACGGGTCAAAGAAAATTAGGGAGTTCTGATTTGTGATCAGACAACTGATTAGTGCAAAAATTGACAAGTGCTAGTCAACTCAGTGGCTACGTCTACACTGGCCCCTTTTCCGGAAGGGGCATGTAAATTTCATGAGTCGTCGTAGGGAAATCCGCGGGGGATTTAAATATCCCCCGCGGCATTTAAATAAAAATGTCCGCCGCTTTTTTCCGGCTTTTAAAAAAGCCGGAAAAGAGCGTCTACACTGGCCCCGATCCTCCGGAAAAAGCGCCCTTTTCCGGAGGCTGTAGGAATAAGAGCCTCCGGAAAAGGGCGCTTTTTCCGGAGGATCGGGGCCAGTCTAGACGCTCTTTTCCGGCTTTTTTAAAAGCCGGAAAAAAGCGGCGGACATTTTTATTTAAATGCCGCGGGGGATATTTAAATCCCCCGCGGATTTCCCTACGACGACTCATGAAATTTACATGCCCCTTCCGGAAAAGGGGCCAGTGTAGACGTAGCCAGTGTGGCGAAGGACGAAATTAACAAAAAGTGTTAATTCCACATTTCACAACATATAGGGCCTAGGCTTTGAGTATTTTGGGGTGGCAGCAACAACTCTCAGAATAATTCGATAGAAAACAAAGATGCCACCAATATGCTAAGCATGCTCAGTCAGTGGTGGGTCACTTCTGTGTTCTGAGGCACTCTTGCATGCAAACTCACTTCCAGACTATGCAAAAGGGAAACCTAGCCCAAGACTCAGAGATAAGTTTGGAAGTCACTGCAAAATGCTCGTTGCTGGATGTCTGAGAAAAGATTTTTGCTTGGTTCTGCTGTGAACTCTACTACCCTCACTTGGTCATCCACTGACAACACAAAAGCACTTAGATCATCAATGAAAGGGTCAAACCAAGAGATCCAATGACTGTAAGTACTCTAGGGATACATCGGGGTAGGGAATGTATGGCCTATGGGCCAGATCCAGCCCCCAGCTTCCTTTGATCTGGCATCAGCTTACCCCACTATGAGAGGAAGCCCCAAGCCTCAGTGCTCACCCCCCGCTATGGGGCTGTAGTGCAAACACCAACTCACCTCACTCTTGGGAGAAGCCCTGAGCTTTGGCCAACCTCCCCTCCTCCCGGGGGCTAGAACACATGTGGCACTCCAGTGCCCTGAGTTGTGAGGTGAGTTTCCCTTCTCCCCAATCGACCCCCAGCCGGGAGCCAGGCCAGGAAGGTTTTTTTCTTGCTTCTCACTTGTGTGTGGCTCCCAACTGATTTTTTTGGTGAGTCAATGGCTCTTGACTGAAAAAAAGACTCCTCAGGAGACGCAGTAAACTCTCTGGGAGCCTTAAAAGCATTCCCAGTATAGTCAGCTGCTTTTAAGGACTGTATTAAACCTACAGCCATATAGCGGAGCACACATTTGGCCTACATTAACACATTCTCATTGCTATTTTCCCTTGCTGCTGCACGTCCCAGGTTTCGGTGAGATGTTTTTATTTAGCACTCATCTACAGAACATGACGATGACACTGGAGCCAGTAAGTTACTCTTAATTTGATCTGAGAACTTGTCCTGCTCTGCAGTTGTACAGCACCTAGCACAATGGGGCCCCCATTCCCCACAATACACATAGCGAATGCTTACGGCAATCGCACTTGAAGAAAGAAGAACAACTTCTTGCCTGGTGGAAAGAGACTGGAGACACTTCGAAGAAGGCCAGAGAATTCCACGAAGGGACTAATGACTTGACGACCTCCTGCGGCTGAAAGTGGCCTGAGCAAGAAGAGACCAACATGCTCTTTACAGTCAGACACGGACTCCCCGTCCATCCCACAAGCCTCTTTATGCAGCACCACTTGGGACTGGTAAGTCCCTTAGGCCACACAGAAGGGAGATCCACAGTAAGAAGCTGTCTCAAGAAGCCTATCCTGCTTGGATGTCAGTTGCTGGGCAGTCTGCTCTACAGATAGTACTGGGTATAAGTATGGCTGCTAACACCCCCACCCCTCATCTCTCTCTGCAGCTATCAGAGCAACCTTTGGTTTCTCAATCTCCTACTGTACACTTAACATCCTCCTCCATCTCCTTCATCCCGTACAAGGCTAGTCTCTTCTTGAGCACTCACCCAATAGCACAATCCCTAGCAACAGCTTCCTCCTGTGATGTATATCTTGGCATGAGACAACAGAGAACAAAGCTGCTTCTCCTCACCATACCCCCCTAGTCACTTAACAGGGGTTGCTATATAGAACCACACAAGCAAAGCATGAGTGTTCCAAATTCATCCCTATGATTGACATCCTCAGACATCCAGAGCCAAAGGACCAGGATCTTACCATCTGTGCTGTACAGGTCCAGAGTGCCCCCGTCGCTCTTCTCCCATGGTGGAACCAAGTACAGGATGAAAGCAATTCTCCGTCCCTCCAGCTCATCGTCGTGGCATAGCAGGGTGTCTGCAATCACAAGCTTTCACATGCTTGCCCTGGGTTTGCAGCGTTCATTCTTTTCAGTAGCCACTCCCCAATCCTGCACCTTCGAAAGCAAAATCCAGTCCCTTCCTAGGGGCTACATTTTCACCTGATCACAATCCCATCAGAGCCACACCCCATAGGTGTATATTCCTCTGGACTCAATGACAGTGGCATCAGCTGAAGCAGTCACGATCATCTTCCCTGCATGACTGCACTGTCTCTGGAAGCCCCGGGTGCACAAAATGCACTTGGAGTGAATTCCATGCTGGTGAGAAATGTTATCCTGACAATGCAGGTCACTAAACATCTCTGTCCACTCAGGTGGGATCAGCACGGACAGCATCAGTGCAAGCTTCCTCCTCTTCACCCCAACAATTTGACTAAATCCTATCCTCAAGAACCACTTTAGGGGGAGTCGGGTGTCTGTGACCCACTCAGTCCTGTGCCAGCAAGGGGGTTCACATGAGGAGATGAGCTATTAGTAATAAACATCAGGAAAACCTTAAGATCCAGAATTGTAAGTCATAGTCCTGCTGGGACCATAAAGCCATTGGATTGACCACAAACACTGCCTAGATTTCTTCAGAGGAGGATGGAAGGTCTGGAGTTCACTGGCCCAGTTTAAACTATTAACAACAAAAATACCCAGGTGTATCGTTACTTCCTTTTTTTGACCCTGACTTGCTTCCTGCCTGAATCTTTGTTTTGCTGGATGACAGCTTCCAGGAGCAGGACTTTGAAACTGGGGTCCCCTATGGCAGCTCTTCGCCCTCTCAGAGAAGCATCCTGCTCACTCACCTGTATACTCATACTTCGCACAGGACAAGTCAATGGTTGGTTCCAGCTCCACCTGGATAACTGCAGACACCCACTCTCGGAACTCTTCAAACAGAACTTTCCTGGGTAGACAAGCACGCAGCAAATGGGATGTGCAGCCGCTCAGACTAGGAAACCTAAAATGCTCAGGTGCTACAGCACCGAGTACATGGTCATGAACTATATTCAGCTTGGTGCAACTACTTGTAAATGCCACCAATTAATGCCATATAATTCCTACCAGCGGCCCCTGCTTTCATGGGCAACCCTACAGCAAGCATCCAGGAGCGCAGTTCCAATGCTGTTGAGAATCATTTATAGTAACAAAGCAGCATGGGTGGAATTAGCCATTAAGACAAGGGATGAAAGTTTTAAACTTCCATGTGTATTTATACATGACAATTTTACAGTGATTAAAAAAAAGGGGGGGGGGGGGGTCTTGGGGAACCAGAAGGTGAGAGGATTGAATTACAAGCTATCAAGATGCAAACTCCAATGATCTTTAGAATTACACAAATGGGGGAAATCTATACATTCTTCCCCTCCCTCCCTCCCAAATAGTAGAGAGTGTCCTATACAGGTTGAATTAACTGGCAACATTGTATGGAGATAAACGGGGTTTTAGTTAGGAGATGGTGTTAGCTTTAACCAAACACACAAAAAAGATCCATCAGGCAGGCTATGCATGGTGGATGGTTGCATTAACATGGCAGAATCTAACTGAAACGATCATATATGTAAAGTTGGTATGACACCTTTTACCCCATCTAAACGGATAGTGTGGGCCCTAGGCCTTTTGTAAGGTTCTGAGTACACAAATGACAGTTGACATATGGCAGGTTGGCAGGGAAAGGGCTTCATTAGCAAGTTAAACAATTACATTTTTTTACTTGTCCGCTGGGAGGTGGCAAGAGGAGAGCCTCTTGTGACAGATATGGCAATTCCCTGGAATAACTTCCTGAGATCTTAATGCGCACCCTCTGGCTATGCAAGAACTCAGCCTTTTGAAACTTTTCCCTTTGTCTCCTGACCACTTGCTATGTGAGGACAAGATCCAAGGCCCAGACTGTATTAAGAAAAGTATGAATAATATATAAGGGTTCTTGTTGTGATCGAACAGCTGCTATGAACAGGAAACCCCTTTGATGGGGTTTGAAGGACTAAGCACCTGCCACATTCCTCAGAGTTGGGAGTCGGGATGTTAAATATCAGTTAACTGAATAGTTGAGTTAATTCTTATCGGTTAGTGGACTATTCTATAGTCCCCAGGGGAGGGGCCAGCAGCAGTACAGGGTGCCAAGCGGGAGCTAGTGTGCAAGGAGAGCCAGTTTAAAAACCAGCTCCTCTTGTGGACCAGCTGTTTGTTGCCCTGTGCTGTTGCCTCTGATAAAGAGGCAGCCGTGTGGGGTGTCAGCAGCACTTGCCAGGGGGAAAAGGGGGTGTCTGAGCTCCCAGACCCGGCACAAACCGGAATTGAGCTGGGCTGCTGGCCAGCCTGCTAAAAAATGTACTAGTGGTGGAGGGAGGGAAATGCATGTAGTCTATAGCATTAACCTATAAGCTTTTGCTCTCTCATGAACTTATTGTGCTTTTGTCTGATTTTTTCTTCTGACATGTTTACTGGAAACATTATAAAAATTGTATCCAAATGGGTCACCAAAACTATTTTTGGTAAATAAAAACTTCTAATAATTATCTCTTTAAAAAAGAGTCCCAACTCACAAATATATCAGAAATATAATCATGAAACATTTAAGATTTTGAACACCCTGAACCAGAAATAATCATGAATTTTTTCACAAAATTATTTTCATTTTTTGGCCCTGTTCCTTTCAGACCTCTAGAAAAGGGTGCCTAATGATTTGCTGTGATTTCTAGGAACTACCTTACCTTAATGCTGAGATGTAAGGCTCTTTCCTCTTCCTCAGATCATCAGACTAAGGAGATGCATGGAAAATAAGAACAATTTATTAATTTGGACTCTGCTCTAAGTTACAGCTGCAGCGATAAATAAGGGCAGAACTTAAATAAGTCTATAAGTATCATCAGTGTAATTTACAGCTCTTGCAGGAACCGGAGTGCAGAATGGATGGCAGAGGGCCATTGCAGGCAAAAGGCGAATTAAGTAGCCCAAAAGTTAGTAGGGCACAATGCCAGCTTCACCAATGCAAGTTAAAGGTCTCAGGGCACTGGTCCAACACTCGATATTAAAGCTGAGTCATTGACTTGCCAAGGAAATGTCTGCACTTGGGAGGGGAGTATCTGTATTCTACGGCTACCACACCTCAAAAGAGCCTCTACTTTCAGCATTGTACAGGATATACACATAGGGATTTCTCTTTCAGACGACAGAGATGGAGGGACAGCCAATTTTTAGCGTGCCAGAGGGTGGAGAAAGCAGAAGAGGATTACTAATCTTTCTACATGTGTAAGTTTTTCCTGCAGGATGAGAGAGTGATGCCATCATGTCACTCTGCGTCCTGCAGTTCCTCCCTCCTCAGCCACCCAGCCTCCTCCCTCACTCCCATACTGGTGCTGAGGGTCCCAGCCTCTCTGATGCCGGAGAGGGCAGCAGCTAAGCGGCCTCCCTGGAGCTCCTGGGGACAGGGTGGCAGCCACGTGGCTTCCCCAGCCTCCCCGGAGCTCTGGGGTGGGAAGTCAGGGCTGCCTGCCCCCAGAGAGGAGGGTTGACGAGCGGAGCGAGCAGGGGACACTGCCCCCAGTGTCTATTATCTAGGTTTAAACCTGTGTTCTCCTAAGTTAGTCTGCACCTATTATTCTGCAAAAGTCATCATTAAATACTCTTTCATGCTCATATGGGTACAGGCAGACAAGCAACACAACACCTAAACACCTCCCAAGAAGAATGATCTTCCTTAATCATATTTACATACCTTCCTGGTGCCTCTCCCTTCCCCCCTGCCCCTGCCCTCCTTCTCCTTGGTGCCCACTCCCTCACCACCCTCTACCCCAGTTCTCCTCACTCCCCTCTGTGCCCTCACACGACTTGCTCCATCCCCTGCCTTCCTCAGGTCCATCGCGCCTTTAAATGCCTCTTCTCCCAGCACTCACTCCTCCTCTCCCTCCCTCTTGCCCCCACGGTCCCTCCCCTTTCCTCTCCCAGCATCACCCTGCCTCTCCCCTCCCTCCTTTTCCTCACTGTCTCCTCTTGGCCTGGCATTTCTCTTTCCTGCATCCTGCCCCTTGCTTTTCCTGGCGTACCCCCCCTTGCCTCAGCACAAGTCCCTTCCTCCATTCTCCTTAGTTCTCTCCCTGCCCCTTCCCTCAGCTTCTGCCTTCCAGTTTGTGGGGGTGGAGCCTGCTGACCAGCCCCAGAAGTCCCCGCAGCCCCAGATGCGCCCAGAGCCGGACCACTTGCCGGGACTGGAGCTGTGGCCGCCCACAGTGTTATTTTTAGTGCCGCAGTCCATTCCCCACGGGCAGCCCTGGCTCCGGCTGGAGTCCAGCGGCATCTGCGCGAGACCCAGCTGGAACATGGCTCGTGTGGCTGCCACTTGACTCCAACTGGAGCCAGGGCTGCCCACAGTGCTATTTTTAGTGCCGCAGTACAGTCTCTGTGGTCGGCCCTAGCTCCAGCTGGAGCCAAGTGGCAGCCCTACGAGGCACGTTCCATCTGGGGAAGTCTCACCAGAATACTCCTTGCATGACTGCTGCTTGACTCCAGCTGGAGCTGGGCCACCAACCATGATCTGGACTGCAGCACTAAAAATAGCTCCACAGGCGGCCCCTGCTCCTGTCATGGCACCTGCCGAGCCAAGCGCCCCTCACCCTGCAGCATCTCAGCCAGGCTCTGCACTGCTCCTGCCAGGCTCCAAGGCGGCCTGGAGGAGAAGGAGGTGGGGCTGCCGGACCAGGACTTTGCATAGCAGAGGCGGTCCTGTGGGGGGAGGGAGAGAGGAAAGGGCGGGCCACTGGAAACTGGCCCAGTAGCCCTACATGCCCTGCTGGGGGGAGGAGGCTGCTGCGCCAGTATCCCATCAAGTAGTGAAATGTCCAGCGGGGCTTTCTGGGACATTTCTCTACTTGATGGGGCACTGGGACAGATCATTTAAATTCAGGATAGTCCTGAAAAAAATGGGACATATGATCAGCATAAACATAGGTGTCAAGGAGTTTCACTCACAGCTTTGCCATTAACTTGAGATCCCCTACAAACCAGATAAAGTCATGGGTCAGAATTAGGCTTGAATAAATTCTTATAAAAATAGTTCCAACATGCATTTGCTTTACACTTTGTTAATTACATAGATTTACATTTTACATAGTCGTGCAAAATTATACATTTTAAGCATTTTCCCAGGGTTTATTCATTTAAGTTAGGCATCTAAAATAGCGCTTCTCAACAGTTAGTGACAGCTTTTGACAACATTAACCATGGCATGTCATCTTGCTTATTTCCACATTTCAACTTTATCAGCTATGATAGCCACACACACTGGTCCAGGTGTCATGAGGCTTATCCTAGATCTATGAAACATGAATGCATTTGTACAGCAGTGTCGCTGTAAGACAGGCATGTCCAAAGTCCAGCCCGCGGGCCAATTGCGGCCCGTGTTCCGGTTTAATACGGCCCCACAGGTAATTTGGCAATATCTATCTTTTATGGCCCCCAACGAATCCATATGTATTGAGATGAATACATTGTAAAATGTCAGTTGGTCTAAATCAGTTATAAATATATTTGGACACAACATGTATACTTGGTGTTACGTTCCTGTTCATATTTTTTGAACTTAAAAGTTGACAGACAACCTTTATTACCAATAATATGTAATGTACTTTACAATGTTCCTGACATATATTTCAGCTTCCTGGATTTTTTTTCATCTGGCCTTCAGATATGAAAGGCAGAGTGATTTAACACCTGTTTAGATTTGTCATCCATGTGACGAAATGAAAAGTATGCCGTTTGCAATAAACTTTGCATAAAATAGTTAATTTGCATTTAATTTGAATGGCTCAAAGAATGTCAGGCAAAATGGTCGGCCCTCACGCATGTTCACTTCATCAAATCTGGCCCTCTTTGAAAAAAGTTTAGACACCCCTGCTGTAAGGTCTCCTGTGTAGCTGCACTGTCCACATCAGCACTTTTGCTGGTGAAACTTAATGTTGGTCCGAAGTGTGTTTTTTGCACCCTCCGGAACGACAGAAGTTTCACTGACACAAGTGAGATGGAGCCAGTCTGAATTCACAAATAGCTGCAAGCACAGACCGGGGCTATGAACACACAGCGAGCGCTGTGAGATCGGTGCGGACACACTCGGGCCTACCATGGCAGCGCACCTGTTTGAACTTGTACAAGTCGTTGCTCTTCTCACGGAAATCCAGGCTCGCGAGCTCCTGGTGCAGCCCGTCCAGGAAGCCCGGGCTGCGGATGAAGCGGGGAATCACGCAGTGACAGAAGGGCGCAACCGGGGCTATGAACACACAGCGAGCGCTGTGAGATCGGTGCGGACACACTCGGGCCTACCATGGCAGCGCACCTGTTTGAACTTGTACAAGTCGTTGCTCTTCTCACGGAAATCCAGGCTCGCGAGCTCCTGGTGCAGCCCGTCCAGGAAGCCCGGGCTGCGGATGAAGCGGGGAATCACGCAGTGACAGAAGGGCGCAGGATCCACCGCGACGGCCTCTGGAGACAGCAAGCGAGACACGGTGAGGCCAGGCCCCGCCTCGGGCTCCCCACGAGCTCGCCGCCGCCCTCGCCCGCGGGGGCCGGGAGGGGAGGCC